AAGTCTGCAGCCCTGAGATCACTATTCTAGAGTTTTGCTCAAGAGCCAAGCCCATGCATGCTGGCCGCATTGACAGAGATTACGCCTGCCTTCCCCTCAGGACCGTTTTGGTCAGTGATACGGTCATGCTGTTCTCAATCCCTCGTAAGGAGCAGTTCAGCAAGCCAGAACCCAAGCGGCTGTGATAACAACCATGTAAAACAAAAAAATCGATGCTAGGGCGTAATTCTTTGGACAGCAAGCGAGCGCACGCGTGTGTAAAAGCTACGCAAAATCCGAGAGCGGCGTTGTGCAGAGTGCGCACAAGTGGGCTAGGAAGGGGCGTGAAGGATGGAGTTAGCGCAGCGGAACCGCGTAAAGTTGATTGACCATCGTAAATCACTCAGCTGGCCGTAACTGCCAGGAAAGCATACATCGTGGAAATGGCGCAGTTTTGCCGATAACGACTTCAGGGTGCGCACACTATGATGTGATAAGGAAAGGGTGCGTTTTTCTCAGTCGCGCTGTCCCCGCACATATGTCCTACCTGATTTTGTCTCTAAGCTGAACTCTAGGCTGGCTCATGTTCACATTCTGATGCGTACCCCGGAATAACTCGTTCTCTACATCAGCGCATGACAGCAAAAAGATGACGCTATGATTTAAAATCTCACTAAAGTAGAGCCACCGTGGCTCTGCTGGCTGAATCGTCTTGCGAAACCAACCCCGCCAGCGTCTAGGTGCTCTCGTTCAATGGGGCTTATCTTCAACGCACACTTTTCTCATATCCACATAGTTGTTAGTAACATCACTATAGCACGGATTTTAAAATTAGTTGTCGCATTAAGTGCTAATCTTGTTAGTCACTAGCTTATGAACATTCCTGAAAAATGCTAGCCACTCAATTCAATTGCTCGTTGGGTTTCCTTGTCCAAGAGGAAAAAGTTCACATCACGCCTACGTGCTATATTCCACTTTTTTTGACGAACAGGCCGACAGAAGTCCGGCCGTACTAGTGGGACGCTGTTACCCTTTCGTTATTTCGAGTGTTAGACGGTTATGTACATTTAGTCGCCGATCGTCGCAGCCCCTTGTTTTTGATACGTATCCTCCTTTCGAGGTAGCCATGGAAAGAAC